ACTTCATTTTACTGTTCTTTTCCCATTTTGTTTTCTCATACCCTGAAATCCTAAAGCTATTCTGCATCATGGAGACCATAGAAGACTAAAAATTTGAAGTGTTCTCAGACAGCCTTTAAAATTTTGTTGCCTTTTTTCTTTTTTTTTTTTTTTAAGTGAGAAGGGGTTTTAGCTCTGTCCTTCTAAATATTGATCATATTCACTTTAATGATAATCAGGTTTTGGGGGAATGATAATGGAGTTGCACATAATATTTTTATGCACTTTTCATTTCAGCAGACAGATGCATTCAGATAGGCACACACACTAAAAATCATACTTTGTTTCCTTGATTAATTGAGATTTAGATAATGAGTATGGGATAAAAATAGAAAGGCAATTAATGCAGCTAGCTGTGAAATACATTCATACACAAACAGAATTTCTCCCTCCCCAGTGATCTTCTGAACCCTGAGGATTTCCATCCCATTAGTAACTCACTACACAGAAATAGCCTTTGGGGAGACAAAACATTAAAAATGGAATTAACTGCAAACTAAGTCAGCACATGAGGTCATTTACTCTTCTTGGGTGTATCTCATGCTGAGTTGTGCTGTGTGGGCTTCTACAATATTTAGAGGGGGTTTATAGAGCACTGCAAGGACTAAATGATGGCTATCTGTCATCCCATCTCTCAATGCTGTCAGCAAGACGCTAATATCTCTGGTGATGCAAAATGAGTGTTGAAAGCCAGGCTATGGGTTTTGTCAGAATCATTGAGGCCTTTCTTCACAGAAGGTATAAATTGAGCAATAATATGCTTATGTTGTACATTTCCATGTATGAATGATTTCCAGCTTTTAGAAGCTCATGTCCTCAGTTTATAAAGATACACATACCACAATATCTCAAATATCTTTCTATCACTGAGAATTCCACTTTTCCTCATATATCTGCCAATCATAAGAAGTTGACTAACTTTACCTTATTTAGAAATGTCAGGGGTGTTCATGTGATTTCAGTCATACATGGAATTTTAAAATATTTCAGTTCATAGAACAAGTGAGATTAGTTGTAATCAGAGGCTGGAGAGGGGAGAAGAAGATGAAAGGAGTTTGCTTAATGAATACAAGGTCACACCCAAATGGGAGTCATATATGTCAATATTGGGTTAGGTACAGGATATTTACAGTTAACAATATTGTATAACATAGTCTGAAACAACAGAGAGGATCATGAATGTTCTCATCATGATAAATATGTGAGATAAATATAGGTAAGGGATTGCATTAAGTATCATTAGTTGATCAACATATAATGTATAAAGTACCAAAACATCACACTTCCCCATAAAATGCATGATTATTTTCTGTCAAAAACTTTAAGAGAAGTATTAACAGTATTAAAACATCTCTAAGTAAATTTCTAAGTAAAATTTATGGAACTAAATATTTAGTATTTTAAACTAGCTGGAGAACTGTTTAATTTATGATCATCTTTTTTTCCCATCTTTACCTTCCTAAATCTCTGACAGATATAATGATCTCCTTTAATCATCCTCAGAGTAGTAGAGTTCTTAACATTAATAGTTACTAATTGCTTATCCCAGAGTCTTACTTACACTTGGCACTATTGACATTTGAGTTCAAATAATTCTGCCTGTGTATTGTATGATGTTTGACAGCAGCCCTCCCCTCTACACACTAGAAACTGGTAGCCACTGACAATCTAAAGTCTTGCCAAAAATGCCAAATGTTCCCCATGGGCAGCCTATTCTCTGGTTGAGAATCAATGGCTTGTCCTGTACTGGACAGTATTTCCTTTGATTTGACAGTAACTGTGAATAACACAGGACTACGTTAATAAGGGTTATAGGTGGAACAGGACTGTGTCGCTCAGGTCATAGACTTTTATGTGAGACTACAATGAAGGAAGCAGGTTTAAAGGGCTTAGGGATGGAAAGAGACCCAAAGACTACCAATGCTAGGAAGTCCTTCTCACCTCTGAGGCTGAAAGAGAAAGGAGAGAAATCTTTCTTGGTGAGCAGAGCCCTGGAGCATGAGCCTCAAGATGGAAATGAGGTCATGAAGATGCAAAACCTTGACAGTGATGAGTACTGCATCCCACCTCCTTAACCCTTTTTCACCAGCCTTTCCTCAGAGCTAGTTGATTCCAAATTAAATCCAATCGCTCCTGCAAAGACATAGAGTGATGCTGCTCAAGGATTCAGCCCTCACTCAGAGCAGGAAGGAAAATGGTATTGGTTAGGCAAATAGAGAAAACCTAGAGAGCACCATCTCCATTTTAATGTGAAATACCAAGTACTTCATCCAGAGCCTAGTGGCTAATGGGTGGAGCAGGCATTTGAATGCACATCTGTTTGACTGCGAGATTTACAAATGCATCATCATATTTGGTTTGTGTGAATGAGCTAAAGTTAGAGACTGTGAATCATTTAAGGTTTTTGATTTTAGTAGATGGTGTGAGACTAGAACCCAGTTCTCAGTCCTAATCTGGTGGTTCTTTCCTGAACACGGGCCACTAAAATAAATTTAAGACCTATATATCCAATCTTTTCTCAAATAGACAAACATAGGTGTAGGAACTATCTGCCACCCTTAAAAATCATTTCTTTGTGAAAGGCTTATGGAATTCTAGGTTTCATATAGAATGTTCAAATGATATATGCTATTTCTCCTAGCAGTCATCACATTTTTGTCTTGCTACATACACTAAGCCCCAGCTGGTGCAATGTGTTAGGAGAAGGAGGAGGACAGGGTTAAGAACTCAGGGACTCGGGAGCCAGTTCTGGCCTGGCCCATCGGAGCTGTTTTAATTTGCATCAGTACTACTAATACTGTAAGGTCTATAAACTTTTGCTTCCCTGCTAGATTCACCCAGCTCTTCAGTTATTCTCAGGTGTCTGATTGGTTGGTCACAACTCTGAAATCAGCAAGGTGTTAGATTTAGTTTGACAGATGAAGAATCATGCTCAGAAAACACTTTAGCTTACTGAAAATTTTTAAAGTGGAAAGGCTCAGCCTCACATCCTCACAGGATATGTCTTGCCTTCTCTGCTTCACCCACAAGTGCCTTTTGAAGTGGTTAATTAACTTGCTTCCTCAGGACAGCCCGCGTGTAGCATTTAATCTATTAGGTTTTATCATAAAGTCATGTCTAGACCTAAGTCTGAGAATGTGTAATTTTGGTCCTAGGAACATAGGCAAAGCTGCACAGGATACTAATGTATTCAGCACTTAGCAACTTTCAGTTTCTCATTTTTCTTTTGCAGGTTTTAGAAAAATACATTTATTGTCTATAGCCTTCAGGGGTAAGAGTGATATTTTAAAAAGGAATTTGCTGGAAAACAAATCTGAATAGGTTAATGTAGTCCCATTTTGTCAATTTAATCCTGGGCAAGCTGGATGCTAGTAATTAAGGTTCAGATTTGGAAGATCCAGCAGAACTTCCTTTAGCTCAAGATAGGATTTCACCAGGTGGCACATTTCAGTTCTCTGTCACTTTGAGATTTTTCTTTTCTGCCATTTCTTCCCAATTTCTCAATTTTCTACTTTTGCATTATTTTCAGGCCTTGAAGTTTTGCTTTTCCATATTTTCTGGCATAAAGTCAGGCGTACAACAGAAAAAAGTAACCTGTTTTACTCTTTGTATCTGAGCTTAATGATTTTTGCTTCTTTTTCATGTAACTAACTGCTAGCAAACCTATAGTATAAGAGTTCTTAGTCCAAATTTAAAGCTTCAGAGAAAGGAAACCAAGAAGAATATAGAAAACAATAGTATGTGTGTTTGGTCTCTGAAAGTCAGAAAGTGGGGAAAGATCATAAGCTTACTTTTGATATTCTTTGTAGTCTGGCAGAAATTATAAATTTCTTCCAAAGAAACATTTTCACTGATCAAAAACATAGCTGTGTTATAACATATTATTACTGTAGATGATTAATAGTGCCTTGGAAAAACTGTGTTACAACTTTTATGGTATTTATCCACAATGAAATGTCGGGGGGTGTGGTGTCTTCAGGATTTACAAGAAGCCTGGACTTACTGGGTACAAATCCTGACTTCATTCCCCTTTGGCCTCTGTAACCTCGGCCACATTACTTCCCCTGCACAGTTTGGTTTCCTCATTATAATGGTATCTGTCTTATATGAAGTGCTTTTTATGCTTAAACAAGTTAATAGGAATAAAACAGAATACTTGTGCAAAAAACCATGATACAGCTACTCACTGTCATCAGCAATATCCTTTATCCCCAGCATCATCATCATCAGCTTCAGCACAGCATCCCAAGCCAATGTTTCCATTCTCTGAGAGAATAATTATTTTAAAACTTAATAAATGATAACTGTAGAGTTTCACCATTTAGAGTAACTTAGCTAAAAAAAAAAGTAATTGTGTACAAATAAAATACATTTACATTTTGAAACACAACAGCCTAGTCCCAAACTTCAATTCTAAGACTTGGTCAGCCTTCCTTTTTAGCTGATAGCTGATAAACTCTCTTTTCCCAGGGCGTTAGGTTAGAAACTACTGACAAAGAATTATTACAGGAGCCAAAATTCGATATAAATTGTATGCTACAGAGGTGTCTTCTTATTACTAGAGGTCAGGTCAGAGTGTCAAAAATCACATTAAATTACTGTTCTAGAGGTTATTGAGTTTCACTCTTGGGAGAATTAAGAGGCCTGACAATAACGTATAATAAATCTTACTCTGACCCAAACATAATTAGTGATTAAATGTCCTATTAATGATCCCAGTCTTATTAGATCCTTTTTTCACATTCATATTTAGACAGTACAAAAATAGTTTTTCACATATCATGAAAATGATTATGATACTTTTCTGTTTAATTAATTTAGCATCAATGCCTTACTTACATGCTCGGGATTTTAATTTGAGAATGAGAAGGGACCAAGAAAGGGTTAGAATTTTTAAAAATGCAGGAGCAATTGGCTCTCTATTTTTTAATTTTATCTATTTTCTTTGTCTCAATCCCCAGCCTCTGAGCCCAACTTGAAGGTGCGGTCCAGGTTAAAACAGAAAGTGGCAGAGAGGAGAAGCAGCCCCTTACTCAGGCGGAAGGATGGAAATGTTGTCACTTCATTCAAGAAGCGAATGTTTGAGGTGACAGGTAATTGAGGATTGGGCAGTCTTACACTAACAAATGCTGGGTACTAGGGACAAAATAATAGTCTAGACTAAATACACCTGCTGCATCTTAAAAGTTCTTGTGAGAAAAAGTAATTTCTTGATTGGAAATTTCATTGAAAACTTATAACTAGTTCAGTAAACCGTGCTATGTATTCATCAACTGTGTTAAACAGTAAATGAGTGAAAAAAATTTTTAAAAAAGGAAGATCAACCTTATGTGTCAGTTAAGGCATAACTAGGAAACACCAAGGCTCATCTTATTCTCTCCAAAAACAGGCAGTCCATTTTGAGACTGCCAACCAGGAGAATATAACCTGTAATGAAATCTGATCAGAAATGAACCAAGGGAGGCCCAAGAGAGCGCTTCCCTCATACCTAGACGTGAATGTACGAAATACATCTGGGAAAATTAAACTATGTGGAACAGCAAAACTTTGACTTTTCAACAAACTTACAGAGCTCATAAATGACTTTATGTGTTTACTCGTGAACTGAGACTTGTGGCAGAGGGGGACATATTGTTTTTTCTGAAGGGGAAGAAACTGTCATTTTCACTAGTCTCAAATGGAAGAGTTCATATTTTTTTAGCTGCCTGGTTAGGAGTGAGGTGAACAGTTTAGGAAATTCAACCTGATATCTTACAAACCCTTTTTGTCCCAGTTGTGCCTGACTTGAAATTAGAGCATGCCGAAGGATACAGGAACCAAAAGTTCTGACAAAATAGTACTGACAACTGTTCATCGAGTAGTTACTTGAAGCCGTGCACTGTTCCTGGTCATTTGCTTTGGTTGTATCAATAAAGAAGTAATGCTACAACCAGTTTCCCCATTCTCAAAGAAAACTGTGCTGCTACCAATGGAGTCAGTTGGTACCACTTCTGTGAGGTCAGATTTATCCTCAGTATACTTTTTAAAAATTCTGTTTTTCTGTATTCTTTTAGCCATGATATTCTCTAGTTCAGGGGGATGTTATAGGGGAATATTGTGGAAATAGAGATAAAATGTATATTTAAGCACAGAATCTTAATGCAATATGAAGATTTAACAGGTTTTACAAAGATGTTTAGTCTCCTGTACAATTCAAAGATTGGAATGCTCATGTGAAAAACATTACTGATTATAGTGGAACTTTTTTTTCATTAGGGGATAAGGAGAGTTAAAGAAATGAACAATAAATAAAATTGTTTTATTGGAGCTTATTTCTAATATCAATATGCTCAGTAATTTTTATCAGTTAAATTCTCAGTTTTAAAACACAGACTTACAGACTTTTTTCAAGAAATATTACCATACATTAAGTAAGTAAAAATGGTAGGTTTGCCTTACTGAAGTCCTTGATAGGACTGAAGAGTGAATAATAAATCTATTTTAATGAATGGAAAAGAATATCATGCTAATTGTAATGTAATGTAATGTAATGTAATGGAGGTAGGTAGTTTTTTAATTGGAGAGTGAAGGTCCTGCTAACAAAAAAGCTTGAAGAAAAAAATAAAGGCATTTTTCTGCTTTTTAATCTCAATATCTGAGGTCATATTTATTTATACCAATATTCTTCCCTGTTTTCCCATTAGTCTGATTTTATGGAAAAAATAAAATTTCACAGCAAAATAATAGGAGAATAACAATAGTTAATCCACTGAATCTTGTTATCTTCAAAGTAGTTAATCAGAGCACAAGATACGGGCATAAAAAATTCTCCAAATGATATCGGCATAACCCTTTCTTCCCAATGAACTATGAGAAACTGGTGGTGTTTTTTCCCTTCTTCCTTCCTTTCCTTCTTCTTTCATTTTGAACAATTTCTCCCCACTTCACAAGTCTCTTTTCTCTGTCCTAACCTTTTCTCCATGTTCATTTTTCCTTCCTCATATATTGCAGTGGAATTTCACTGAGTGCCTATCTAAATCATTAGTTCTCATTTATAAATATTATAATTTGCCAATTTTACTTGTTTCTTTTTATTTAAATATGGTGTGCTTTATTTCTTAATATAACATTTAAAGTAATACATGTAGAAGTTACTAAAGATAATATACAAAAGCACTCTTTTGACTTCTATGAAAAACACAAAATTTCATGAAAACATAATCCTAGAATAACAAAAGTTAATGCACTATGTACCGTGTGTGTGTGTGTGTGTGTGTGTGTGTGTGTGTGTGTGCGCGCCAGGGACCTAACTGATAACCTTGTGTTTGCCGACAGGCACTGTGCCACTGAGCTATCTCCCCGTATGTACCATAATCTTAAAATGACTAAAATTTTACTCAGAGTACAAGTCATAGAGACAAAAAGACTTTCTCTTGCAAAAAAATAAACAGATAAAAGCACAAAACTTTCTCTTTAATGTGCATTTCCTAATTTTGTGTCATAAGGGCGCCTCTTTTCATCTCAAGAAATAATAGCTGCTTGGAGAGAGACTTGTGCTAGCATTAGACACACACTGTTGGCCCTGCACCAGTGCTGGGGATGCTTCGGTAGATACCTTACCTGGTGTGCAATTCGTACTGTAATACCTTTGGCGACTCTGAGCCTACTGACTGTCATTCATCTGTTTTCCTCCCCATTTCCTGACTAAATTTCATCTCATTTGGAAAAGTTGGCTGTATCTTCATACAAAATAGTGTTAGAATATAGTTAGAGACCATCAGAGTAACCTTAGCAGCGAAGTCATTCTTACTGTCATTATGTCACCTCTATCTCTCTCTTGTCCCCATCTCATGCATTTAAGCGTGTGATGTAACCTAATAGTTGGGGGGGAACACTTAACATTTTCCTCTTTTTCAAAATCCAGGTGTGTTTTGACCCCACAAGCTGCCTTCTTTTAATATTCAAGGCATAATCTCACCCCTGGGCTGGCAGTGCTGCCTGCCCCTCCCCCGCCCCTGCACCCACTTCATGAACTATTTTTCTTCAAAGGCGAGTTCTAATTTCACTTCTTTTTTAAGATTTTTTTTTTTTTTTTAGCATTCTCAGAAAAGCAGTCACTGCCTCCTCCGCATCCTGTCCAGTGTGATGTGGTGAAATCCTAGCACTTATAAAATAAACGTAAATAACATAAATTATAAAATTTAAAATTGTGGGGTAGGGGTTTAGCTCAGTGGCATAAGGGCCTGCTTGCCAGGAGTGAGGTCCTGAGTTCTATCCCCGGTACTCCCACCCAAATTTAAAATTGGCAAGAAAGAATGTTTCAAAAAACTTTAAAATATGGAAATGATATGTAAATGAGACATTAATGAGAAATACTTAATCATCCTGAAAACGCAAGTCAGAGAAAAGAATTTCCTGCAAGAATTTTTAATGACTTTTTTTTGCTAAAAGTAAACACAATAAAAAAATAGGAAAATTACCAGATTAATCAAAATGTAAGTAAGATATACAGACAGAAGGGAAGTGACAAAAATGTGCTTACGCATTTCGTAGTAGTAATAATTTGCTAAAATGCTGTAGTAAATAAGTAGGAGGATCAGAATTCTTTCATACGTCTCACACTCTTTCCAGTGCTGCTGCGTTGCTCTGCAGAGAAATACTTGTGATAAGAGTTTAGTTACATGTCATTTAGAAGGAAGAGTAGAAAGTGTAGTTTGGAAATTGGGAACTCCTGTTCTTCAGGGGACAGATGATAATATGAGCCTTACTTTGAATTTACATGTGAAGTTGGGCTCACAATGTAGCAAAGGGAAGGAAAGGATTAAAAGCATAAAGTGGTAAAAAGTAAGTGACTGAGTTTCAAAGATGTGGAAGGGGCAGAGGTGGGTGTTAACGGCCGGCTCCGTTTAGGAGAAGAGGGACAAACATGGTGAAAAGCTGTCTCAGTAGGAGGATTCTTCTCACAAAGATTTGGAAGAAAGTTTTGAGAGACTGTTGTAGGGATTCAGGAGTGTTAACACATCTGAGAGTTCATGAGAGAATCACAGAGGTTTAAACTGAGACAATTGTAATCAGACATAATACAAAGAACAAATTCAAAGTCCTAGTAACTGATTAGGATAACGGGAGTTGTGATGATTTTAAGGGTGGTGACAAAGTATAAAGACAAGCAGGAAACATTTAATATTAGAATTCATTGAATTTAATATACACGTGATGTCCAGCATTCTAGAGGAATTCAGGCTGAAACTTATGAGGGTTAAAGTCAAAAAGTAAAAATTCCATGGTAGAATGCTGCCTAAAAATAACAGAAAGGATTACAAGATGGAGTGATTTTGACAAAGGATAGAGAAAAAGGACAAGGGCACCAATTTGTGAATGTGTTTGGGGATTGGTAAGAAGAAAACTCAGAGAGACAGACATGATGAGCATGGAGACAGCTAATGTTACTGTATAAGGAGTTAGAATGAGGACTGTTTTGTCAGAAACTGTCAAATTTGATGGTACCGGAGAAAACAGTTGCAGTTGATAGTACATCAGCCGTATTGCCGGGCTTGAAAGAGTGAGAAGGCATCCTAAGAGTTCATTGCTAGTCAAGAATTATTAACACGCTGTCACTCTAGTGGGGAGACAGCCCTGTGGAGAAGGAGGGGAGACTGAAGAACCAAGGAATTATGAGGGAGGTCCAGAACAATAAAAGATACAGGCTTAAAGGTAAAAGTATTTTAGAATCAAATGAGGAAAAGGAAGAACAATTCCTTACCTTTGAAGTGGAAACGGAGAGTATAGGTAGCATGCTCTGAAATAGAAAAGGTGCTGGTGGAAATCAAATCAAAGTATACAGTCTCTGAAAGTGCAGGACAAGATCATTCATACATAGTGAATGAGAGAGAAGGACACAGATTAACCAGATGTAAAATGAGACAAATAGAAAAATTTTGAAATGAATAAACTGTGGAAGGTGTTAAAGGAATTAAACAGAGCTCAGTAACTAATTTTCCAAGCCTTCATAAGGTGATTTCTCTAGCTATATTTCTAGGAGAAGGACATTTCTATTTTTAATTATATGTTTTAAGAAATGTGCTATTTTTTTCTTAAGTTGAGGTACGTGTAAATTGTGTTATTGAAGAGAAAAGAGGTTAAGTATTTTATATTGTTATCTACCTTTTGCTCACAGGAATTTCTTGCTAATTGGAGTTTAAATTTTTACATATCAAAATGCAACTTTTCATATTTTGGAAAATAAATTAGATAAAGTTAAAATCAGATTATTTTATACAAGGTTGTAGTGCAGTGTTGAAATGTTTATTTCCTATTGTATTTTCTTTCTGCAACTTTGACTCATTTGTGCTATCTGAAGGTACAGCCTTCATATATCAAATAGAGTCCTTTCTGGCTCTGCATTAAAGCAGACACAAAAGGAATTGCTCTTGGCGTCATGTGTTGACAACCTGCTTTTTTGATTGTGCAAATTAATGACATCAATCACTATTGTTTCCTTATACTGTAAGAGCAAATAAGAGCGGATCCTTCACTCTTTCCCCCTTCATCCTTAGCTTCTGTTGACCTCTCTAATGGATATTTTTACTTCTCTCAAAACTCTAGAATACTACATTGTATTTTTTTCAGTAAACACAAAGAGGGGAAGGTAGTATGAACTGAAAAACTTCCATAACTTTCCCTTATTCTTTCTATTCAGTGAAACAGTACATGCCATTCAGATAGACATAAAATAAAACACCACCAAATACTGTAGATTACAGTAGCAAATGTTCATCTGCATGTATTTTTATACATACATTTCTGTCTCACAATATTTTTCAGAATCCTCAGTCAGCAGCAGTTCTCCAGGGTCTGGTCCCAGTTCACCAAACAATGGACCGACTGGAAATGTTACTGAAAATGAGACTTCGGTTTTGCCCCCTACTCCTCATGCTGAGGTAAGACCTTATTAGTTTGTTTCTCTTAAGAAATAGGCTCCATGAGTAGCTCTAACCCTAACAATGCAGAGTGATATTTCTGAGTGAAAGTTGGCTCATTTCTTTGTTTCAAACATAAGAGGAATACTATTATAAGTAGACATTAGTTTTGTTTTATATTTTTATAATACATGAAATAGAGTAAACATAATATTACTTATGAATAAGAGAATGAAGGATAGTTGGATAACAATCAGGTGTTTGCAAAATGCTACATGTAGTCCTCAAATAAAATATTCTTAGTGATCCTGAGTATACACTGCTCAACATTTGTATGAATTAGTAATCCTGCTTATTTATTGCTTAGTTTCCTGGGAGTAAACTCATCAGTAAGTAAAGGCAGCTTTATGCAAACCTCTCAGAAGAACACCTATCTAGGTGGGCTTTGTCCTTTTGGCCTTACATGTAATGAAAAAGAATTGAACAACAAAGAGCCCCACTAAGCAAACATTTACCACTGTGTGTCAGTCATTTTGCCTGGCAATGGACATATAAATAAAGTATGAGTTCTAGCCTTAAAGAATGGCATATTAAAGAAACTAACTTTACAATAGCATCATGTGTTATAACCATGGATACAATATAAAGATAAAAGTCATTGCGGGAGTCAGCAAGCATATGTGTAGTGTTGGTTTGAGGAGAAGCAAGGCAACGGTTTGAACATGGTGACTTATAGAACCTGCCGTTTCAAAGTCACTGTCCATTCACTGAGAGCCTTAAATTTTCTTTCTCCCATTCTTATGCCTCCATAACTGTGCATTTCTCTAAAGAGGGAAAGTTGGTGTGACACCCTTTTGTATGTAACTGTGACATATTTCTTATAATTTATGGAGTCATAGTACTTTCGGGCTCATTGAGATGTTAATTCTCTTAAACTACAGCTTTCCTGACATGTGATTATCCAACCTTTACCAGAACACTTCCAACTGTAACGCTCTCACTGTCTCCTAACACAGCTAAATTGATTTTAAACAGTTACTTTGAACAACAGAAGTATCTTCCAGGCATTATGCCAAGATATCTATATTTGTTGCGATATATATATATATATATATAGTCCATCCATACAAACACATATGTGCATATGTAAAGTATTATACATTATAAAATTACAAGTATTAGGCCAAAATATAAGAAAAGACAGAAACCCAGAGGTTACTCCAGTTTAGCAAAGGACTGAAACCAGGGAATTCACTTGCCTGAAGGACATATGAGTTTTTGAGCTTAGGTTTTAGGGCCTCATAGAACTCAGGAGATAGAAGACAAAGCCTCAGCCTGACCAAGTGGAATAATCTAACGAGACTCTGCCAGCAGTAAGCTGGCATCCCAAAGACCCCTCTTTATGCTACTTTGGTGAGTCAGTCACCTCAGTCCCAAAGCAGTCTTGATGTAGATCATAGTGAGTGACAGATTGTTTCACCAAGAAGTTGTAACCACAAGTTAGTCTTCATACAGTATTTAGCTCTGATCACATAATTGTGACCTGTTTATTTGATTTAAAGAGGCCCCATTTTTGTAGTTTCCCCAAATATCTGCAAAAGCAAATGAGAATCTACTCAAGACACATTTACCTTTATTTTAGGTTTTAAAAGTCTTCTTCAAATGATTTTTCAAGAATCATGAGTAGAAAAGATAGATGTTCTTATTCATGATTATCTTTCGGCTCCTTGAGTAATAACATTTTGAGTCTCTATATTATCTCTGGGACCTTTGTCAGTATCCAGTTTATTACTGTTTTTATACCTCTTTCTCATTTTTATTATCCTTTAAAAAACATGGAATAGATACTTGACAAATATCTGTGACCAGAGACATGTTTGAATTATTAACTATCTATTGGGTAGTTCTTAGCAACCCTTTATTTCAAAGAAAAGAACAAATTAGGTACCAAATATTAGGGAAGCAAAAACAGATTTCCATTTTTTTCTGTGAGTTCAAATGATGTGATTCTCAGAGACTTCATAGACACCTACGTGTCTGGTTTCAGTTCACCCCTAGTTGTGTTTTGTATGCTTGGAAAATGAAAATAATACCTTGCCACTACATTTATCAATGTATATTGTTCTTAGAGATGCAATCAGTATAGGAAGTGTCAGACGATCACTTATGTATAATCAAGTTGTATTCACTCCAGAAACAGCAATATAATAATTTTTGGAAATGTAAAACACAAATGTATTTTAAAATGGCAAGATAATGATGAACACAAAATTTAGCATCATGATTACCTTTCAGGAGGGAGCAAGGGGAAAATATGATTTAATAGTTACTAAAGATTAAGATACATATATCTCTTCTCTCTCTCTGTGTCTTTCTATATATATACATATGTGTGATTGACCAAGAATGCACATTGGGGAGATTGGAAATAAACGGAGATAGTGAGATTTTTTTCTCGTTTAATTCAAGCCTTTTATGACCCACTAAAATAAATGGAGTGTTCCAGATTTGGGGAGTGGTGTGTAAATTAAATCAGTTTGATTATATTAATCAGTTTTATGTTCCCAAATCCTTCACCGTCACAAATTATCTGTTTAGGTGCCCTATTTTATTTTGAGTTAATTGTTGAACTATTCTACCACTATGGACCCTTCCTTCTACACCACCACTAAAAAAAAAAAAAAAGCAAAACAGAAGGAAATGTGATTTAATGGAGTTTAAAAGGGTAGAGGTATTTCTTCAGGTCAATGACAGGACATTCGCCTCCAAAGCTGCAAAGACTAGTTCAAAAGCAAGCAGTGACTTACCTCATAATGAATTAATTGTGTGCCTGAACTATGATCTGAAAGGCCAGGTGGGCAGACCTTTATGCACTGATGGGCAGCCTTTCCGTGGCCCAGAACAAAAAATGCAACCCTGATGACTAACATGTGGTTTTCCGCTGCATTACATTGACAGAGATCTGTGGTGTAATTCATTGTGGATAGGAGAGAGGCAGCAGAATACAGACCAATAGTGTCAGCAAATTAACATCCAAGCTTTGGAACACAAAATGCTTCCACCTAAACCAGAGAAAGAAAAATAATTCCAGCCATACTTGATCAACCGTCATTTAGAATTTGGCATGATATTTACAGATGTCTCCTAAGATTAATAATAAAATGTGGTTTCATAGCAACAGAAAGTATTTTGCTACATATTATTTACATCATTATATGCTCAAAACTTGGTTCCATACTATGTCGTTTCCAAAATAGGCTTATTCTGCAAACTTTTCTGAAATAACACACATAGTTTTTAGTTTAAAAGTAACACCATGTATTTGAATGAACTCCCTTGTCTATGTCCTGGAAGTAGAAAAACATCACCTGATTCTTACATAGCCCGTGTAAATGATAGCATTCTAACCCTTTTGCTGCTTAGGAAATAGGAAGGTAAGACTGTATCTAAAGTTCTTAAGCCCTAGATGAGCACAACCACTCCATCTTATAAATCACATGTCCTCTCTAATTTAGATGAAGGAAAGACAGGGGTTGAAGGAAAATGTATTCATAAGTCAAAACATAGGCAACAGTACTGTGGTGTGAAGTGCATAGGCAGGCATTTCATTCCAAAGGCTGGGCATGAACCTGGCTCTAGACATCAGCACTGGTCAAGTTGCCTCACTTTCCCTAACCTTCAGATCCTCACCCTAATACAAAGGTAATAACACCTATGCCAGTACCTTTGTTGTAAGAAATTAGTATTGGTAAGACAGGTGATAAACTGTGAAGTTTAAAACAAGTTCATCCTTGTTATTATCAGCTGCTGACTCTTGGTAGGGAAAACTCATTAGCTTGTTTGTCTTCAAGCCAGCAACTCTCTTGCGAGAGTGAGTCTCCATCTGCTCTGACTATTTCTGTTCCATTTGTTCTATTTCTTACATATGCTCAGTCCCAGAACTCAGATTGTTGGAGCTACTTGCTTTACTCATTTGTAAACTTGGTTGGGGAGCTAAAACCTCAAGGGTTTCTATTTCCAACTCCCGTCAGAGATGTCTTTACCTATCCATTACTTTATTGTTAATATTGTGGGCCTGTGGGTTCAAATATGTTTCCATGGATATCAGCACCATTACTTCAGAGTCAGTAGATTTATTTGATAGCTATTTTAACAGTAGCCAAGCTGTTGGTTTATTTCTAGTTGAACATTAGTGTCTGTCTCTACTCTGCTATTTTTTAAAGAATTTTTCCAGCAGATACAAATGATTTTTTATAACGGATTCTAATAATAAGGTTAAGTGTTCTAAAATCATCTGAAATGTCACTCTTTTTGCTCCACTTCACATGACTCATCTGCCTGTTGTTCCACAATAGTTGTTGTGACATTTACTGTGAGTGTTATGCTCCTTTCTCAGTGAGTATAGAGCTGTGGTTGTAGATGACGGCAAACATAACATATTTCTTACCCCCTTGGAAAAGTAGATGCTGTGACCAACTAATCAGTTATTAGGAATAATGTGAGTCAATAATATAAAACAGGCTCCTTAACAAAACATCCATACAAAGTTTAAAAATCCTTTCAAATGCAAACCCTGACCAATGTTTTATTTACTTAAGGTCTCCCATGCATTTTATAGTAATACATTCTTGAATGTCCAATAAAAATTAAAACTTAGACATATTTACTGCCTAAACAATTTTCTCTAAATTACATGAAGCTTTTACTTTTGTACCAGCTAATTTAAGGAAGAGTAGAAAATAAATACAGTCTTGAGAAATACTATTAAAGTCATAGCCAAACACTGAATTATTAAGGAGTTTTTTTAATATAACTCTTTTCTTTTTAGATAATCTAGATTTATAAATTTGAGAACTTTTGAAAAGTTGATTGACTTTTATAAACATGTCTTCCCATATGCCATTCTGATAGACACAGTAGTTACCTGGTAGAGATAGTCAGAGGAACTTCAGTCCTATACTAAATGATCTAATGTCCAGAGAAGGTGGGTGGCTGCCTGCACCTCATAGCCAGCCTGTCATTGAGTTCAAATGTAAGACAAGATAGGCAAAATTTCAGTTATGTGTGTCTTTTTTAATTCTTCTTCTGATTCTCATGCATGTTGTAGGTAATTTTGAACATAGAGCAAACAAAATTCTACATCTGCTTTTCCTACAAGCTTCTTAAATTTTAAGTGATGATTTATATAGCTAGTATTTCACCAAGGGCTATCGGCTGAGTTCTTTCCCATTACAAATAAGAAAAGCAATAATTTGTCTTCTCCTCATCCTTTCCTCTTTCCCTCCCTTACTTATACTTGTCTTTTTCTCTGCTTCTCCAACTTGCATCTTCCTTGTTTTGTAGGTTAGCACTGTTTCTTTTATTTTTGTTTATGTGGATTATGATGGCTTATGGATATTTTGTCCATGAATTTTAGTGGATATAAATGGTGTTATCTATACTATTCGTCACTACATACTGGGTGTGGGTCTCTTCATATCTTTATGAATGCTTTTGGTGCTGCTCACTTTATTCATTCTCCAAGAAGATAAGATAGTAGCCTCCAATCCCACCTTTCCCCCTAAAATCCTTCAATGTGTACTCATCAATATCTTGACAACTTAATGAGGCAATTTCTTGAAGTTGTAGTTTTCAGCTGAAGAATGACCAGGTCATGGTGAATAGAAGGATTATTTTGGCTTACAGAACTAAATCATTTCTCAAAATTACTGTATTAGTCTACATTGAGTTTTTTTCATTGAAATTAATAGTTTCATAATTCCAATGGCAAAAGTTCAACCTATGTGTATTTTATTCATCTGAGTTGCAAATATCACCTACAAGATATTCTTCTAATTGATGTTGTAGAACAGAGGTTAAAGAAAATTATGAAAGGTTTTGCTAAAATGTGGGTAGTCATCCCCACTCTCCCAAACCAGGCTCAATTCATGCCCTTCACCTCAGTGCCATGTTCCTGGTGAAATGCTAGCTACTCTTTAACACCCTCCTGTTTGCCATCAGAGTGTTTTAACTATTCTGTACCTATAACCATAATCAGAAGTCATTTGAGCTAGTTTTGTACTTTCTTATGTAGAAAATAGCATGTGAATTTGTGAGGTACAGTATATCCTGTGTGCCTACTACCCAATAGCCTCAATTTAACACAGAAGAGTTATGACTCCACATTGTTTTATGAGTTTTATGTGATAGCTGAGCATATTTCAATATTTCCATTTTATTTAACTAAAATAAGAGTATCCAATTATGAAAATTTTTCAAATTTTAAGCTCCTTCCAGCAAAAATCTGATTTTTGCCTAAAATTTGTATGAGCTCACCACAGGTCTAAGGTGGAGTTGTCATCTGGCCTTGCAAGAAAACTGGTCAGGATCCTTCGTTTTCTCAATGGAACGCTTCCCCTTACAACTTGTCTACACTCAACAGTATAGAATGCAAATCTAGGTTTTACCAAAAGACTTCAACTTGAAACAGGCAGGCTGCTCCTACCAAAAAGCCTCTCTGAAGCAAGCTGTATTTAAAACAGATGATTTGAGAAAAATGGTTAAGTATGATTACAGACACTGAAGTCTAATCTTTCTACCTGTGACTTTAACTCGATTCAAAGGAGATAAGCTAAGCAATGTCCAAATTCTTGAAGTTTCTAGGATATGATGTTATTCCGGTTAATCTCCACGGAAAGAACCATCCATCCCTGAAAGCATGAGCAATGCAGCACTCACCTTACATTTTCAGGGGCTGCCTTTACAACCTGTAGATCCTCCTACTGCAAAGTCACGGGACTTTCTTCTCAGACTCAGGTCATTTGGCTTCCAGTGGCATTTCATTTCTCCTTTCCTCCCTAAGTTTCTTCCCTTTTGTTCTCCAAAGCAGCCACCATTCTAACTTGTTTTTATGATCCTCGCCGTCCTCCAACAGTAGCAGCAGATTATGGTGCATTTTTGCAGCAAAACCTAAGGTTCACTGCTGATCCCATTGGGAGGCAAATTTGCTTTGCTCTCTTTCCTTCATTTTCTTACTAAAGGCAGCTTGAGAGTGCATATGAAGAATAGGTTAATCTCCAAAAACTCCTCGGCATGGGTTTTGGCCCATGTTAGATGCTGAAAATCTGTACACAACCACAGGAGATGGAGTCACTTAAATTTTATGTGAAACTCCACAGGTCTGCGATTTCAGTTTAGTAATATCCCAAATCCTCTCAGTTTAGTCAAAGCTGGTGTAAACAGTCACTGTGCTGCTCCCATTATCACATCTGAGAAGAAACCTACTTCTCGTTTTAGTAGATCAACTTCTGGTGATGAGGTTGGATCATATCACAAAAATTCTCTCCTGGAATCAAAGATAGCTCTTTCATGAGGTCTATGATTTTGTTTTCATTTTTGCTTTTGTTTTGGTGTCCTTTCCACAGTCTTTGTTAAATCTCAGTGCTGTGAGGAGCATACACAAACTTGAACAAAAGTTATATATTAAAATACTTAATGTTTACCCATTTATGAATACAGAGAAATGACAGGATTATCCCTCTATTTCAAATTGCTGTCTGCTACCAGTAAGCTAGTTAAAATATTTTTACTTTCTTAGACATTCTTTTGGTTTTGGTTATCTATCTATCTATCTATCTATCTATCTATCTATCTATCTTCTATAGTAAAATTGATGTTGAAAGATTATTTATGTAAGCAAATGTAACTACTGCAAATAGCTCCTGAAGTAAAGTTGCAATACCACACAACATAATTTTAAAATATTTTTTCCACACTACTCATACTATGACATTTTCAACTTAAATTTTGAAATATAATTAAGTCAATGTAATATTAACAGTTTCTGTATAACTCTTGATTTTCATGCAGAAATGTCTGACATGGTCTTTTAAGAAGAAACAAAATCTGAATTAGCTTCGAGTTCTAAGTTACAAGCAGAAGCACATTTAGCCTTCTGCTTTATTATGTTAAGGCAAGGACTCATCTCCAAACAGACCTGTGATTGAGATGATGTTTTGGAATAACATCCTGTGTTTTGGTGGTGCATCACTCTTCAGTGACATTCTGAGGTTGCATTGTATTAGCCCATGATATTTTCCTCAGTTAATTGATATCCCAGGTTTGTCCAGAGGAAAATCTACAGCTCCCCCAAACATGCTTGACAAGTTATTATATTTACTTTAGTCAAAGCCCGTGTGTGCAATATCCCTCTTGGAGGTGGTCTATTATTGGAGTCCCATATGCTTTTTGTTTGGGAAGAAAGCAGTCACTGTGTCATTCTGTTACATGGAGTATTCTTTTTCAGGGATGTTGTTCCCTTGGGGACCATATCAGGCCAGAGTTCCTTAGTCTAATAAGACCTTTGTAACTCTTATTGTATAAAAGTTCTGGGAGGGAAGCAAGAGTTAAACAGAAAATGTAATTCAAGCAACCATGTTAGGCCACATGTGGGAAAACACGACTCTTAGTATTGGATTTAAAAAAAAGTATTTGTTGTAAGAAGCACTAAGATGCCAAAACGTTCAGAGCATTTCAGTGTAAATGAAGGCTGTTGTCATGTAGGGAACTCATAACATTTTAACATTTACTTTAGTTTCTGAATATGAATGATCTAAAAAAAAACATACAGAGTTGTCTTTTTATAAGTTTATATATTAAAAGATGTGATTATTGTCTAAACCCTACATGGTGGAGTTTAAGACTTTCCTGCATGAGCTTCCTGTCAATAAAATGGCATTTAACTCAAATAAACCTAATGGCTATGAGAGTGTATATGTATTTTTTTCATTAGATTGAAAAGTATATAAATAGTCATCAGAATTACCCAGTTTGATTGTTATATTTTGCAGTAGCTGATAAACATGTTGATTATATGATTATATTCCATCAAGACAGGACTTTAAAAATGAATTTTACAACTTTAATATAGAAGTCCTGCATTCAAATTTTATAAATGATGGTGAAAAGTTATATTTGATTTTTAAATAGGATTAGAACTCTTGGACATAGAAGTCATCAAATGAAATTTAAATATGATGTGTAATCAAAACATGGTGAATGTTTAATTTTTTAAAAGATGATCACAGTAAAAGACACTCTGCCATTGATTGGCCTGGAAATGCTCTGCCTTCCTTTGAACACACTTATCCCCTTGTTCTTGCTGCTTTCTGAAGCAGTTCTGAAGATACTCTTTTGTGAATGTTTTTAATTTTGCTCTTTTGGTTGCCTTGATGTCTTGAATCAATCCAAAATATTTATGTTTCTTGAGCAGTTTAACTTTGGGAAAGAGCCAGAAGCCACATGGTGCCCAATCTGGTGGGTGAAGTGGCTGGGAACATACAGTCATGTTTTTATAACCTTGTCTTTCCATTGGATGGCACCAGGCAGCAATATTCATCATTTATTTTAATAACACTTTGTAAAGACTTTCATGATAGAAGACTTTTAGAGCTGTTTCACAAAGCGACAAGAAATTCTATGCAATGAATGTGATCGTTATTTAAATCTAAAATAGACTGATAAAATTAATTTTTAAAGAAGAAGGTAAGAAAGATGTTATGTGTTCCCAGTGAGAGGAATTTTTTTCCACATAATTAATATCAACATTCTATAAATGTAATATTTTTAAAAACTTAAACATACTGTATTTTCTAATCAGCCCTTGTATTTTTCTTAACTATAATAATATAAAACCTCTCGTAGAAATTTGATTATTGTCCAATAAAATCGGTGAGACTGTGACCTTCTTTCAATTTTATTTTTTTTTAACAGCAACTGGTTTCACAGCAACGCATTCTAATTCATGAAGATTCCATGAACCTGCTAAGTCTTTATACCTCTCCTTCTTTACCCAACATTACTTTGGGACTCCCAGCAGGGTCATCCCAGCTCAATGTAAGTCATTGCACAGCTTCAACTGAGACCAGCCCAAGTGTTGTTTTCATGTAGAAACACTCATTTTTTTGTGTATTTAAGATCTGAGAAAATCTTGTTAGCATGAAGCTCTTTGCTATTTGCTACTTGTTGCATTGTTCAAATGTATTCTGTTTAATTTCAGATCACAGAATTAGATTCCTTGGCTTAATTCTATATAAAAATAATTAATATTTCAGGATGATGTGTAGTTTTAAAGGAAAGCTCCTTGGTATATTATTTTAGCAATTCCACATAACAATCCTGGGAAACAGAGATTGCCCTTCACATTTTTTATAAAGAGGAAACTGAGACTAAAAGAGTTTAAAAACTGAAGATCACAGAGCCAACGAGTGCCAGACCTGGAACACACCCCACGCCAGTGCTGAGTGTTATAGCTTGGAAAACACAGCAGCATATGTTCAGAGACTTTGTTTTGTGAATGACTTTATTTCAGGAACTTAAGTTACTGATTCTGTGGTACTGAAGAGTGCATATCTGGAAAATGTCTCTAAGTACAACATTAAGTTATTCCTAGGAGATTCACAGATTTAAAATTCATTTAAAATTCCTGACAACTGAAATAGGATCTTTTGGAAGCAATTGTCCTACTATAGAAGATAGTAATAATTATTTTATGTGCATTTTCTAAGAAACATAAATTTTAGTTGCAAAATATGCATCTTTGAAAGTTTAGCAAATTATACATACACAGATGTCATATGATACATTAAGTTTAAAGACAAATTTGTTCCAACCTTTGTCACTAATTTCCAATCTTTAGTAGCAAGTCCTTTTTGGAGTCCAGCATATCAGATTCATATATATCTTCAATACATATTGTAAAATCAAAATGAGACAGTGTATCATAGCTGATATTTTATTCTATCTAGACCTTTATAAAGTATAGTGTTTTATTAGATAACAGTTGTATCTTGTACCAGTGAAGAGAAAGCAAAATTTGAATGCTGTTTTGTATCTCAGAATTAAAGCAGGAAAACTTAATATCCCTGAATTCACATGTGCACTTGAAATTCCACACAAAGTATTCATAAATAATTGGTTTTAGTTCAAAGAGAAAAGAAGTAGGAATAAAACTAAAAATAAAATTACTACAATTTTTCTTCTGTTTTTAATCTCTTCTAATGATAATAAGTACATACTAACTCAGATTCTTGAGGTATGAATAGGAGTTCTGTTACCCCGGCTTTTTGCCTGTTCTAACTTACTCCTCCTTGCTAATTCACTCATCCCCAACGTTTAATGTGGTCGGGGAAAATTTTTTCCCAAAGGACCAAGTACTAAAGCCAGACCATTTAATGTTTCGATGGTAATACAATTTGGTGCCATTGGATGAATAAACCAATGTGGTTTGGATTAAAGTTTCATTTTTCTTTGCTTCCATTTTGGTGTGGATGAGGCCATCACAATTAATTTCTCAAGCTCAGTATTTTTCTGGCAAAGGGATTTCTAATGCTCCATTTCCCCACTGAATAGTGGGAAATTTGAAGGAAAAGAGGCCAGGACCAGCCATCATTTCTAGATTAAACATTGCATTGACTCTGTGACTCAGACAAACCATTTACCTCTTTGTCCTTCAATTTCTCCATCACTGAAAATTGCTTTGCTACCCTGGTGCACTGCAATTTTGAAAGATGAAACATGAGTTTTGAAAAGAAACATGCCACATAATTTTTAGATATTAGACTTTTGCTTTTGTAATGCCAAATTGACCACCATTCATTAAATTTTTGGAATAGGATAATTCATTATTGCCATTGATGATATAATTATTATTGCCTTATTACTGTATTCACATCTATTTAAAGTTCTTAATAGCTTTTTTATTTGATACCTGATTTCACATGTAGTTTATTATGTGAAAGTATCAGGGATGTCATTTTCAATATTGGAGATTTAGAGTTCTGTTATGAATTAATATAAAATAAACATTCAAATCAAGTTTGTGTATTTTTTACCTCCTTTCATTGATTTGCTTTTAAAAATTCATTTTAAAATTTAAAGATTGGAGATATAGAGCACTGTGCAATTATGAGAGGACATGGAAAAAACGATGAATTGTTCCTTTTGCTTGAAGCTCCAGCATCTGTACTGTAGACCATTTTGCCTTAATAGTCTGTAACTATTTGAGTAAATTTTACCTTTCCAACATACCTTTTACTTAAGCAATATATTTTAAAATAATTAGAAGTAAGCTCACTTTTGAGACTGAAATTAGCATCATTTTTAAAGTGATATGTAAAAATTACTATGTTTATATGTTAGAACATGATGCTCTGACATATGTATACTGTAGAATGACTTGATTGAGCTAATTAATGTATGAGTTACCTCGCTCACTTATTTTTTTCATGAAAGCACATAATTTCCATCCTGTGGGTAATTTCCAACTATAAGATACAGTATTGTTTATTTAATAATAGCCACCATGACATACACTAAACCATTAAACACTAAGAACTTGTTTTTCCTGTCTCACTGAAATTTTGTGTCTAACATAACTTTTAGTGTTTCAAAAAAACTTCAAAATTTTTAAATTCAATACAATAACACTCAGTTCCTAAATTATTTCCCTAACTTCAACCATATTTTTATTTGTCCTTTGTTAATTAAGTTAGTTTAAAATGCATAGTGTTTTCCACAGACCTTAGCCATTCATTAGGCTGGATTTTTGCCTGGCAAAATCCTGGCCTATAAAGTGATCTAATGATGTTGAGATTTAGTAATTGATATCTTTATTATTTCTTGACACAGGCTTCAAATTCTCTCAAAGAAAAGCAGAAGTGTGAGACACAGACACTCAGGCAAGGTGTTCCCCTGCCTGGGCAGTACGGGGGCAGCATCCCAACGTCTTCAAGCCATCCTCATGTGACTTTAGAGGGAAAGCCCAACAGCAGCCACCAAGCTCTCCTGCAGCATTTATTACTGAAAGAACAAATGCGACAACAAAAGCTTCTTGTGGCCGGTAATTGACAATGACACGCTTTACGGGTTCTCTTAGAACTTTTATTTCATGAGTGATCCAGTGCAAAGTCTCTTTAACTCAAGAGCCTAATAAAGAGTTGCTCTGCTACACAAGCATCGCCCTGATGCTTGGTACTGTGAGGAAGGCTGTGATCCTTACTGATTCCTCCATATCCCTGGGGGGGCGGGAGTGGGGTACAAATGCACCTCTTGCAACCTCCATACATAGCAGACTGGACTACTGATGAGTCATACGGTCATACACATCCCAGTTCAAGACCTTGGCATTTCTGTCTCCCAGCACTCAACCTCATGCTCTTCAAATGTTTGCCTGGCAAGTAGCTTCTTGTACTTTCTTACAATTGTGTGTGAATGTATCTGTGTACATGTGTATATATAAACACAAACACTCATACACACAAACATTTTTTTTTTTTCAGGTGGAGTTCCTTTACACCCGCAGTCTCCCTTGGCAACAAAAGAGAGAATTTCGCCGGGGATTAGAGGTACCCACAAGTTGCCCCGTCACAGACCCCTGAATCGAACCCAGTCTGCACCTTTGCCTCAAAGCACTTTGGCTCAGTTGGTCATTCAACAGCAACACCAGCAGTTCTTGGAGAAGCAGAAACAATACCAGCAGCAGATTCACATGAACAAAGTAAGCCTCTGATCCAAGTTAAAATATCATAGTCACTGGTTTAGAAATTTGGATTCTTTTCACTGATGCAGATATTTCAGAGGAGAGTGTTGGAATTAATCACAGCAAAAAGATTACCATCCTGACCCCGTGTCTAAGCTAAGGATATCATCACAGTGTCAGAATTTTTATCATCATTATGTTAGTGGGACATTAGTATCAAAATTGAAGTCATAGCTGAGCAAGATATTCATAAATGAGTGCTACTTTTAATACACAAGCACATACAGGCACATATGAATGGGGGCCCATTTTTGGTTTTTTTGGTATTTTTGTAGAAACCTTGAGACAGAGTTGAACATGATAGGTTAACAAGTCAAAAAGTTTGCACAAATGATAAGCAGCACAAGGTTAGCCAATAAGGTATCTCTCTTACACATTTAGGTTACATTTATTCACTGTGACTCTTTTCATTCCGAGAACCAACTGAAGCAGAAACAAAAAAAGACTGTTTCATACTACATCCTTACGTACTGCCTTGTTGAAGTAGCCACAGTGATTACTGTGCAGTGAGACCAGCAAAGCACTTTCTATGTATTTATTAGTACACATTTTTAAGCACAAAATTTATAAGCACAATGATCTTTCTCACTGTGTCACCTACAGGTACATTATGGAGGCATTATGCTGAAAAATGATACCTGGTTTACTTACAAATGAATAGCTACCATTTAGCTTATTGTTAAATTCTTTATTTTATTGTGATATAGAAAACAAACAAAATGAAGCAGAACAAAATAAACCTTCATGGGAAAAGGTGAAATTATTTTTCTTATAGTAGCAGCAGAAGAGGCCTTTCATCATGTGCTAGTTTTATTGTGAATATTGCTGGTTTTTCTCTCGTCTGTGGCTATCATCTTCACAAGCACAGAGCTGTGAAAGGGAGTGTGGGCTGAAGACCACAGAACTGAACAGAAATTCTTTCAGCCCGATCTTTTGCTGTCTGAAAAGATGGCGTGTACCCATGTGACGCTGGCGCCCTCACACAGGTGGTTATGCCGCGCTGACAACTGTTCCTGCAGTGGACCTTGCAGACATTTTCTGTATCATCAGATTAATGCTTGTTTGTTGTTAGAGCAGTTTTCTAAATTTATGAAGTTAATTTGTATCCAGTTAGTCTCACAGGGACAGAACTAGCTTCCTTCCCTGGCTAATGTCATTATGCTTGTTGAGCTGAATGCACATTTGTTACACTGTGGTAAAGTTAGGTTTGTTGACCTGTTTATGGTCTCTCAGCATAATACAGAAATTAGTAAGTATTGTTGAAAAATTTTAAGATTCCAGTGCAAAACAAAATTATATGACAGAAGATATTAGGAAGTCTGCTTTTGCTTCATAATCTTGTAATCTGGAGTTAGATTTATTTACAAAATTAGGATTAGATTATAGATGAACATTTTTTGGTATTCCTCATTTTCTTTCCTCAAATATGTGGATGTGTATGTTCCACGGTGAATAAATTAGGTAAATTGATCCCTTTGAAATTAAGGTCTAGAAATGGTTTCTGTAAATACTTTAAAAACATTTTAATATTTCGGAATTTATGAACGAGAGCTTATGACCTGTTTCAAACTGATAGTATGCTAATTTCAGAATCTTTTTCCTTTGGTATCACACTCAAAATTTTGACAGGCAGATGTTAACCTCAGTCACAGGAAGAACTAAAGATGAAAAGCAGACAGGGTATTTGCATTTTAACAGTGACAAAAGCAAATCTTATCAGAAACCTTTTGGCATGTGGAGCTGATTCATTGGAATCTGTTAAGAATTCTTCTCAAAATTAGAAGCAAACCTATACTTTTAGGTATATTTGTACAGTGGTTTGATTATTAAATCTTGTCTTAATTAGGCAAAATGAAGACCAGAAAACTTCAAAGTATAAATCTGATCTTTATATGTTAACCCCTCTCAGCTTGGGTGTTTAGATTACTCAAGCAGATCTCCAGTTGGCTTTTCTCCAAGTATGTATTCCATATGTTTAATCAAGTGCCACATGTACATGGGGTATTCTCCAGATTCTGAAAATATTTTACCTGCTCTCAGTTGTCTAAGGAAACAGAGTAGACTCTTATTAAAGAAAATATTGAACCTCTGTCCTGTTTTGAAGTATTCCTAATAGTGCCATCAAGGAGTGAACAGTAGCAATTCCCCTCCCTGAAGTAATGACATTTATTTCACATTGAGGAGGGACTTAAATGCCAAGAGATAAGAAATCTCCCTACAATAATGCACTTCTGTACCCTAACCATTTAGGATGCCCACTAGTAAGAAATAACCACAAAAATCTATTTACGTGATTACCTATTTATGTCATTATAATGTGTGAACCTTTTAAATACATACATTCAAGGAAATCATTCTTTGCATCATCAAAACATGTTCTTCGCTCATAAGATACATATAACAAGACACATAGGCACACATGAACATGTAGGTATGAAAATAATACTTTAAAATATTTTTTACTGTCTCTAAGGATTTAAGGAAACAAAAAATAAAGTGAGAACAAAGAAGTCAAAGATTATCTCAAAACGAACATCAAGTTAAATGTAATGGACTCTCCATTTATGTTTATAAAATTTGTAGTGGCATGATTGGATTCTAATAATTGTTAAAAGAATTAGAAACAAATCTATACTTTTGGGGCATAGTTGTAGCAATGATTGACATTAATTTTTGAGGAATTTCACGTAACCATGTAATGTAAATGTCATATGTATGTTGTAAATGTTACTAATCCTACCAGATGATTTAACCTACCTGTTGCCTTCTACCTTAATGACATTTACCTAGAATATTTATGCATTATTTATCTCATGAAGTCTCAAATAGTTATTATTATTTGTCTCATAATTATTACCCAGCTGGTAAAAAGTTTAGCAGTTTAGATTAGTTTAGTTTAGTTTAGTTGTATCTACCAATAAATATTAGGGCAAGCGTAAAGGGTAATGCTGGGCTGTAGACAAACCCTCATCAGAATGATTCCTCTCTGCTCCTAAATATTCCATTTTCAGTGTAAGTGTTGAAAAGCTTCATCACAAGAAAATCATGGCTCATAATTCATTCTTTTGTCTTTTTTTAAAAGACATTTTAAAAAATTAAAAATGTAACAAATAATTTCTGTTGCCAACTTATGGTATTTTTGCACTTCGATAAATTCCATTTTGGTAAGCTGTTTCACAAAATGAAGAGGTTCTTTATACAAACACCAAAATAAAACTGTCACTTTTGCCAGTGTATTTTGTTTTTTAGAAACAAAAATTCTAAAATAGAATTTGTCCCAAAATATAAAGAGGAAACAAAAGAAGTAGGACAGTAATCTTTCCCTGAGCCTGCTTCTAGTTTTCCTATTACTGCAGGGATTTTTCTTGTAAAATAAAACTGTGATTGACTAAAATAAAACACACAGAGTTACTAGGCCATACTGATGATTTTAAGGGAGAATTCTAACCACTTCCTGGAAAAAAATAGAAGGGCAAATTTCTAGTCACATCATTATCTGAATTAGTTCTGTTGAAATTTTCCAAAGTATCTTCAGACATTTTTGTTGAGTACTTTGACATAAATCTCTGCCACTTCCCCTCCATGAAAATGTTACTCTTTGAATTTTTTCTCCATTATGATATTAATAGAATAGTATTAATTTGTGTCTAATTTCTCTTTTAGCTAGAATGTTAATATATTTTTCTCATATACATTCCATCAAATCTATATGATCGGCAATTTTCTTTATTACTTACTTGACCAAAATATAAATCTGTGCATCTATCTATTCTGCAAAGTGTTGAATTAACTTAATGCAGACATTTTCTGAGGCACACAGCATTCATATGCTTGTGAAACCTGTAGTGTAGGAAGCAGTGGTTGAGTGAAATACTTTAAGTTCACAATAATACAGTGTGTTCAGTATTAGGTAGAGGATGTAAAAAAGGAAATTGACTTCTTTGAGAAAATAGTATTTGAGCCTTGTTTAGTTACCTCTCTGGATATGTTGCGCCCCCGGGGTGTCTCTCTCTCTCCCCACCCTCTCTCTTTCCCCATTTTCTTTCCTATCTTCCTTCCTTCCTTCTCTTTTTCTAATATACTCTGTGATAAATATCTTATGCATTCCTTTGACTGGATATCAGCCAACTCTTTTTTAAAACACACATAAATCATGAGAGGATATCTTATATATGTCAAGGTTCAGTCTAGATATAAGTATTTATTACATATTTATTACTGTGAATACTTAGGCATTTTGACATGAGTACTATTTTATCATAATAAAAATATATCTAAGACAAAACCAGTAAATGGGAGGCCAGGCAGATGTCCTGGGCTGCCCTTATTAAAACAGGTAGATGTTGTATTCTGACAAGCAAGGCAGAATATAATTATGCTCAACTGTTGGCTCTGAGCAAAAGGGGAGTTTTCATTAGTTTTTTTGGAAAGAGAAGTTGACCTTTTATTCAACTGGTGTATGTTTTATTGCTTTCTTTTAGCATAGTTTCTTAACATGAATGTTATATACTCTCCATAACTCCTCATGATTCATACCCATTCCCTGTTCCCAACCATTCTTTTACAGCAGCCTAGGAAAATATATTCTCTCATGCCTGCGGTCACAGATAAATGCAGCTTCTATGTGTGTCTTTTTCCTATAAAATGTCCCTGAATGTAGTTCTAATATAGAACTATTTTGTGCACTATTGAAAAGAGTAGACATTTTGCCAAGAAGACAAATTTGAAGAATAACAATTCTGTATATGTGCATGTTTCAAAAAGTTTGCATTTATTTGAAGTTATATTTCATATTAGCTCCATTTTAATAAACATAATTCTAGCCATGGCTTACCTGGGATATTAATATTTTAAGTACAATTAGATAAAGATCGCTGCACAACTTTGACTTTGGGGCTGCCTTTTATTTCTCTTAGTGTATCTCTTCCTGCCTTGTTTCATGTACTGTGCATTTCCTT